ACTGTACAGCAGAGCGACATCCACGACTTACCGGCCTTGTTTTTAAATTTAATTTTCAATAACTTAGTTTTTAACTATTAATGATAAAAAAAAAGTTACTTATATAATCAAATTCAAGTGACGGTAATTTATAAATAATTAAATAGTAAATATAATAAAACTATAATTGATGATGAATGCATCTTATTTTTTTCACATTAATAATATGCATATTGTATTAACATTTAGGTATTTTTACTATCTTAAATCATATCACTGGCTATTTATATAACAATAAAAAAATAAGTTAATTGTAAATCYTCATATAACTTTTAACCTATAAAGTTATAACCGAGTTTTAAAAAAACATAGGATAAGTATTAACTTTAAACTTTTTGAATGTTTTTTTTATCAACTTGACATAGCTCAACAAATTATATAATATTAAATTTCCCAGGCTTGAGTGTAATAAAATTTAATATCCATTAATTTAYGTTGTAGTTGCAGATATTGGATTCTATTATGCATTTCATACATAATAAACATAATATATATTATTATATTATAATATATAAATTATTTATTTATTCAAATTCGAAATTTTAGTATATATAAAGATCATAATATGAAACAAGCTGGTGTTTTTAAATAATCCCAATCTTTTTTAATGTAAATTGTTAAGCTGATGATTATTTTTTTWAAGGTTAATGCATAGGAAATTGAGCTATGATTATTTGAAAATTAAAACTAATATTAATTTATTCACGTTTTATAATATGTTAAGATTCAGTCAAAGAACTATATTATAATATTTAATGTATTTTTGATTTCATGCGAAACCATTATTAAATCCTATCATCCTCCGTTTTTAAATGTCAATAACTCAATGTCTCGATATGAATACTTACTGGATCCATCCTCTTTAATAATTCACTTAAATAAAAAAAGAAATATTTATTTATCTCTACAGGACACTACGCGCATTAAATGATATACAATGCCTAAGTTATTTTAGTTTTATTAGAAAATAAAATATARTCTTTTAGTAATTAAGTGTACTTAAACATGTCAAAAATCGAAATGCAGATAAATGCATTATTAAAATATAAAGTGATGGGGATGATGTTTCGTGAATCACCTTGTCTATATACAACAATATCATAAAATATCATRCTGCTATTATTCCGCTATGAGCTTTCCAATCAATTATAAATTGATCCTTGCATATATAAGTGCATGCAATATTTTTGTTTATACATCATTTATTTAACCTTGAGTTTTCGATAACCCGTTAAACGAATGTATAGTTTCAATGAAACTATGTTAGCGGTGGAAAATTCGTTTTTATAATTTATATTTAAATTTTATTATATTCTTCGAAAACCCTTTACATCTCTGGTCCACAACTCATTAGCCATCAATCATTATCAGGATTAGAAAAATAGATTTTTTATTATTATACAATTATCATTCTTTAATTCTTACCGTTTAAAAGGTGATATTTCTTTTATAATCGTTTGTATTTTTTTCAATTCTAATATTATGAAATGTGTTGCGACACTAAAATTTGTTTGAATACCTATTTATTTCATACGAACAGAAAAGAAATTTGACACCGTTTGTCTATGCGTCGCACTATAACAATATACATTTCATTTGGGGACTTTTTAGCTTTTAGTTAGAGAAAATGTTTTTAAAACATTTTTTGATTATCACGACCCCACATATAATATTATGTCTGCAGCTAACTTTTAGTTTTTGATATATTTTATTAAGATCTTTCTGATATTAATAGGACATTTTTTATATGCACGCTATCAAATAACTATATTAACCAGGTAATGAGATGATACCCACAAGGTCCCCAGATGATTATAACACTACACTATAGTCTTGCATATTAATTATTTATGAAACAGAATGTATAAATTCATTAAAAATAAGTGTTGTCCATCTATAATACACATGAGATCAAAAAGTTGCTGTACAATAATTATGAAGTTCTAGTTTTTGGAAATGAGAAAACAATTATAAATCTTGACATTAAAAATATTATCTATTAGTTATTACATAAGTATAGTTGAAATACACTGMAATATACATTTCTATACATGTTATAAATTAATATTGGTCATGATACTCATGAATATAATAGTTAAATGACGATTTCAAAACGTACCGAATTTAATTTAATTACAGTTATAATGTCTATTAAATATTAGCATGATATGAGTTAACTTTTTATAAAATATGAAAACTTACAAACAATTCCTTATCTGCAAAAAAATATGTCAAAATTCCATTTGCATAAAACGATTGTCATGCAATTGTTTTAATATATGTATATATTTGATGCCTACAATTATTAGACCATAGTAATTTTATTTATTTTTTATGATATTGATTGATTATATTATCTAAATGTTATTACTTGTTTTAATAATTTAAAAATATAATAAAATATAAATACATATTTAAATCATAATATTCATGGTTAACTTGTAGTATATTTTCGAGCATTATAATTATTGTGAAATGCATTATTGTCATATTTAAATCATAATATTCATGGTTAACTTGTAGTATATTTTCGAGCATTATAATTATTGTGAAATGCATTATTGTCAATTTCAATTTATAGTAAAAGTACAAAGTAAACAAATTTACAAGACTATTCGAAAACCATTTCATATTTACAAAATAACACATAGGTAACAATTGATTTTGATTACAAGCCACTAAGATAATCGTTTTCTAAATTAAAGCAAAATATCATAATATATTAATTAAATAAAAATATATTTAATTTAAATTCCTAATTATATAAAAACGCATGTGTTCTAAAATATATTTACCAACGTACCAACGCGAAGATTCACTCAAAAATGAAATAATTATTTCTAAGTATAGTTTATTGTTATCTGTTTTATTGTTAGTTAAACATTTTGAAAATTAATTTATTTATGATTTTTAATATAATGTTATATACCTATCTCGGTATGGATTTAATTTAATTTAAATTTTAGTCGCACTGTCAATAAATCCCGGCTTTAAGCCTTTTTTTCCAGCCAATAACGAATAATTCGATTTTTAAATGTGTCAGATTTGATAAATCCCATCTTGCATTAATTTTGAAACTAAAACGATATTTCTTTCTTTCTTTTTTTTTGTTTAATCGAATTTTAAAAGAACATTTAAATTGATACACAAATTAAAGCCAAGAAGCCAAATTTAATAACTAAATTAATATAAGAATAAATAATTATAAAATATAAAAATAAATAGATTTCTTAATTTCTCTATGTTATACATACATATATTTTTACTATAAYGAGTACAATTTACACGAGTGTATAAATGTTCTAATCCGTTTTATCATTATTTCGTTGTGAATTTACAGTTTATTATATTGACATTGAATAAGACCAAAATATATAATAAAATCAGTGGCCATATTGCCATAACGTCGGTTGTGTTGTTGTGTTGTGATTGCATCTGATAACTCGTTTATTGCTCGACATATATAAAAATGGTTCGAATAAATATGTCTTTTGCCGTTTTTGTATAAACTTGCCGATAAAGTTTCGAACACAGAAAAGGTTCTTTTGCGAAATAAACGTCCATATCTGTTAACATAAATAATATATCATAAAATGTTCGATTGCAATCTATGAGGGGGAGGGGGGTATATTTTCGTATTATATTATCTAAAAACATACAAAAGGAGTTTTCGATGAAATCATTATTATATATTTGTAAAAACAATGCCCAGGGAACGAAGCTAACTACAACTATACAAAATTATTATTTTCTTAAATATAAAAAAAACCGAATAATAATATAGATTAACATAAAATCATAATAACATGTAGGTACTTGTGTAAATATTTTGTATAAAATCCTTTCCGGAGTTTGATACAGGTTTGATATAATAGGTAAGACTTTCAGTAACTAACCACAATTTTTTTTTTTTTTATCTTAGTCGCCTTGCCGGTAGCCGAAGATGGACAAAATGAAAGTGCGACGACTGCTACCGAACCTCTAATATCCACGACCGAAATTTTGCTACCGACCTCCGACAAACCAATAGAGTCCTCAACTGAGAATGTGGTCCAGACCACCGCTGAWCCTACAGATACTACGACTGAAATTGTGTACGACACCACTACCGAACCAGCAGAGTCCACGACCGAGAATGTGGCCCAGACCACTGTTGAGCCTACAGACACCACGGCCGAAATTGTGTACCAGACCACTACTGAATCAGTAGAGCCGACGACCGAAATTGTGGTCCAGACCACCACCGAACCATTMGAATTGACCAGCGTTAACGCGGAAGTTAGTGAATCAACAACAGCGGTTAATAACACGATGCCAGTAGAAGTTGTCAAAGATAAGCTGAGCGAACAGATCAGAAAAATTCTGAAACACTACCAGCGACCTGACCCCGTTGGCTTTCCAGGTGCCCCAATTCCCGATCCACTAAGCATACCCCCAATGAACAAAGACTTTGGCATGGCGTACATGACGTTCAAAAACATGACCGTACACGGGCTGTCCAAGTTCAAAGTGGAAAACGTCAACACGGACTTRAAGAATATGCGGGTAAGTGAAAAAAAAAAGAAAAATATTATATTTGTTTATTTATTTTATTTATTTGCATTAACGAAAATAGTACTATATGGCATAGTAAATAACACATAAAATAGTGACTGATTGAAAACTTTAATAACCTAAATTATAAAACTTAAAGAGCTAAATATATAGATAATTAATAAAATGAAAGAATAAGAATGGAAGGATATTYACTGCTCATTGGTCAACCGCATCACTCCAACAATAGTTAGTGTATTGTGAAGTATTAGTTATTTGTCAGGTAGGTTAAACATTATTACGAAAGAAACAAAACTGTAATAATAACTGTTAAATTCTTGAATTTCATAAAGCTATTGCCAGACTGTTTCAAAATATAATGTAAGACCACATACATCAATAATTACAAATTGGGACAAACAGTACCTATAATTTCGCTATTTGCATGCTGAGGTTCGTTTTACAGCTTATTTACATTGTTAGAACATTAGTGTTTTTATTGCAAGTCTYGAATAAAAATTATGTCAACTTTTATAGTATTGACGACCGCAGAATAACCAAAATATATTATAGGTAGGTGAAACTAAATCGTAAATTGTATCATATTATATACAGATAGGTCGAGAACATACATATTAATATCTCTGTATGGGACAACAGTTGTCGTGGTAGGAGGAAGGGGTCAATGGGTCATATCTCCCCTTTGGTCTATTTTGTCTTATAAAATATAAGATAAATCAATGAAAATATATATTTACCGCTATAAATAACGTGACTTGAGAATAGTCAAAAATTCATATCCTTTTCACCCCCCCCCCCTTCCACTCAAAAAAATCTGATCTTGCCATTGACGGACAGTATATATATCATTGATTTTAGTGGTATCCACTGTTATAATATTTARTTTAATTACACGAAATTTGAATAGGTACTTCGGATATACTCAGTCCCGTGACATAATAATATTTTCTTTTTTATCACCTGCATTCATTCAAATTGTGATATAATGGAATTTTAAACGATTATAAGCGATTTCYCCCACTTTAGAAGACTGCAGTAGCAATCAACGTTCTATTTAAAAATTCATTCAAGTGCCAACCRATTTTAGTATAGTACCTAAACCTTTACATAAACAGTCTATAATATGTGATGCAATGTGGCGCACAGTCATACATTCAACTGGGGAAACGCTCTGAGTGTACGTCCCGGCCGGTTTTGCTAACTCACGGATGGGTCACCATCCTGGTTTTTAGCAACAAATTCTTGCCACACTTA